TTTTACAATATGATCAGAAACCACCGAGTGCCTTGCTGAATCTAATCTAATATTATTTTTATGTTCATTTACTCTTGTACCTAATTGTCTTTTCGTCTGTCCTACATATGTAGCATCACAATTATTACACGAAATCTTATATATGACCCCCGAATTATTTTGGAGCTTATCTCTGTCTTTTTGCGTTTTTATGACTCTGTTTAATTTCTTTAGACATCTGTAGCCTACTGTTATATTTGATTTATTTAATTCTGATGCTACTAGTTCCGAGATTCTTTCAATATAAGGTATCGCTATGAATTTTTATTATTGTCATTATTTATGATTTCGTTATTTATATCTTGAGTCATTTCTTTGTTTAATCTATTAACAATAAGGAACTTCAGTCTATTATTGATTTCTGAGAAAATGAGATCAAGAGGATAACTATTGCTCAATAAAATCTCTATGATTAATATTAAATTTTTACTATGAAAACGGGGATGTGATAATAATATTGACCGGTCTACTAAATTATATATTACACTTTTTTGTGGCATATAGAATGATTTGAATGATATGAGAGTGTTCTACCCGAAAATGTTTTTTTCTGAAACCAATCTATGTATATTATGTTATTTATAATTTTGAGTGAAATATCTAAAAAACTTATGCTACGGTTATCTTCTCTTTCTATTGTAAATTTTAATCTATCGTGACATTATAATATATATTATAAATTAAATACCGGTGCACAAGGCACCAAATTTTACTTGGACACGGCCAAGATTTTAAAATATGAAATAATCTCATATTTGAGATTTAATTTCAATACCCCCTTTAACCCCCCTACGGAAAATAAATAAATGAATGCAAGAGAAAAATATAGATCCGAAAATCGCTGAATCGGGAAGCGAAAGGTCTCGGGTTCGTTTCCCGATTCAGCGATTTTCGGATCTATATTTTTCTCTTGCATTCATTTATTTATTTTCCGTAGGGGGGTTAAAGGGGGTATTGAAATTAAATATCAAATATGAGATTATTTCATATTTTAAAATCTTGGCCGTGTTCAAGTAAAATTTGGTGCCTTGTGCACCGGTATTTAATTCTAACGGAAAATTATTTAGTTTCGTTAGGATAACGCATTGTCATCCGCGATTTGGCTCTTGTTGCCCGTCTTATACGTTAAATTTATATTTATATTACAGAGCCTTGTTAAAACTCTTATATAAATAAAATGAACTTTAATTTTAATATAATTTAACATTGATTAATGAAATTTTAATAAAAGATTAATTATTAAATTAAAAAAATATTTTTTTATTTTTTATAATAGTTATTATAAAAATTAATTACCTCAGGGATAACAGCGTAATATTTTTAAAAAGATCATATTAATAAAAATGATTGCGACCTCGATGTTGAATTAAAATAAAAATTAAATGGAGAAGTTTAATATTTTAGTCTGTTCGACTAATAGAATTTTACATGATTTGAGTTCAGATCGGTGTAAGCCAGATCGGTTTCTATCTATAATAAAATAAAAAAAATTTTGTACGAAAGGACTTTTTTTGGAATTGAATTTTTTTAAATGAATAAATTTAATTGTTGAACGTAGATTAATGAATTAAATTACTTTGGCAGAGTTAAAGTGTATTAAATTTAGAATTTAAATAATGTATGAAAATAAATTATACAAGTAATAATTTATCAAAATTTAAGATTATATTATTATGGGATATTAAATATATTAAGATTATTGATTTTATTATTAATTATATTAATGGGGGTAGCTTTTTTAACTTTATTAGAACGTAAAATTTTAAGATATTTACAAATTCGTAAGAGGCCTAATAAAGTAGGATTTATTGGTATATTTCAACCTTTTAGTGATGCTATTAAATTACTTAATAAAGAATTATTTTATGTTTATAAATCTAATTATAATTTTTTTTATATATGTCCAATAATTAGATTTATTTTAATAATAATAATATGATTAGTATTTCCTTATATTACTAATATTTATTTTTTAAATTATTCAATTTTATTAATAATTGTTTTTATAACTATTAGAGGATATGTTATAATTTTTATAGGGTGATCAGCAAATTCGGTTTATTCAATGATGGGGGCTATACGATCAGTTTCACAGATATTATCATATATAAATTGTAAAAAAAATTGCAATATCTTATGTCATAGTCCTGCATACGACATATGTAAATTAATACACAAATCACACATTAGTCACACTTAGTTGAAAATTTGTCACATCCATGTGTATAACAATACATATAATATGCCATCCAGACGAGTGTATGCAAATGTGTGACAAGTTACATTCACATCAGAAATCTTTAATCTAAGTATTGACTTTATAAAAAGAAAAATAGTAATATTGACTATATAAAAATAAAAAAGAACATATTTAACCAATTTGTCAACAATTATACATAAATAAAAAATAAGTTTAATATACTCGAAGTCATCTTGAAGAGAAATTGGCTTTATATTAAACTTGTAATACGTTTCAAGAAAAATAGTTTATTTTCTAACTGTGTACTTGGAGGTCGATGAAGAACTCGTCCCACTAAGAACAGAAATAATCCTTCGATCGGTACAATCGTTGATGATGTTATAACTAGTCCATTTTAAGAGACAAGGAAGAAATCATATAAATGATTTCTAACTATTCAACGATTGTACCGATCGAAGGATTATTTCTGTTCTTAGTGGGACGAGTTCTTCATCGACCTCCAAGTACACAGTTATTGAAAAGTCGAATAAGTGTGACTAATATGTAATAAAATAAAATGAAAAAAAATGTAATAAAATAAATGACTAAAATAAATCTAGGCAGGCATATATCCTGGTGCTGCCGGCGGTGCGGATATATATCCTGGTGCTGCCGGCGGTGCGGACACGTATCCTGGTGCTGCCGGCGGTGCGGATATATATCCTGGTGCTGTTGGCGGTGCGGACACGTATCCTGGTGCTGCCGGCGGTGCGGACACGTATCCTGGTGCTGTCGGCGGTGCGGATATGTATCCTAATGCTGCCGGTGGTGCGGACACGTATCCTGGTGCTGCCGGCGGTGCGGATATATATCCTGGTGCTGCCGGCGGTGCGGACACGTATCCTGGTGTTGCCGGCGGTGCGGACACGTATCCTGGTGCTGCCGGCGGTGCGGATATGTATCCTGGTGCTGCCGGTGGTGCGCACACGTATCCTGGTGCTGCCGGCGGTGCAGATATATATCCTGGTGCTGCTGGCGATGCGGATATATATCCTGGTGCTGTCGGCGGTGCATATATATATCCTGGTGCTGCCGGCGGTGCAAATATATATCCTGATGTTGCCGGCGGTGCAGTCACGTATCCTAGTGCTGCTGGCGGTATATATCCTGGTGTTGTCGGCGGCGCAAGCACGTATCCTGGTGCTGCGGGAGTATGAAGGCGGCGATCGGCGTATTTACGTATTGGCGCGCCCGCTCCTTGTTTACCGCCTTACGCACCGCGGTGTTAATTCGCTGCAAAAAAAAGAAATTTTATATTATATATATATATATATATATATATATATATATATATATATACATACACAGGGTGTCCCAGAACTGGCGAAAAAGCTTTTGACAGATTTTTGGTATCATTCGGAGACGATTTTTCCTCCGTGAAAATGTCGAGACACCAATAATTCTCGAATTATATTTATCAAATTATATTCTCGAATTAGAGCAGTTTAAAATAAAGGCTTTTTTGGAAACTAAGCCTTGTGGAAATTAATAGAACTACAATATTCAATTAATTTTAGATAGTTTGCTTTTAGAATTTATAAGGCTTATATAGATACATAATAACAAAAATTGGGAACATTCTAAAAATGATGGCCTCTCTCAATATTTTCACTCAGGAAAAATCGTCTCCAAATGATACCAGGAATCTGCCATAAACTTTTTCGCCAGTTCTGGAGCACCCAGTATATATATATATACATACCAATATATATATATATTTCCGATTTTTCCTGAGTGAAAATATTGAGAGAGGCCATCATTTTTAGAATGTTCGCAATTTTTGTTATTATGTATCTATACATATATATGTTCCTGTCTCTCTGTCTCTTCTTTCTTTTCTACATTACATTCTTTCATACATGCAGACGTATATAATAATAAATATTTTCTGCATTACATAAATAAAAATAATTACATACATACATACATACATGTATGTAATTATTTTTATTTATGTAATGCAGAAAGGGGAAGGAAAAGAAAATCTCCGATTATGTTTATTTCTTATCAATCAGATATTCGATCAAATGATAAATTGTCGATACTATCTTCGATTGAATTTGCTCGATTCCGAAGTCAAAGTTCACAACTTGAATTTTTATCAACATTTATAATGTAAAATTGTAAAATATAACTAATTTTCTTATCGTGCAAAGTCAATCAAAGATTAGATTGACAATTACAAAACAAAAGCATATGATTTTTCGAATATTTTTAATTATGATTGACAAATAAACGTAATCGGAGATTTTCCTTCTTTCCTCTTCGATGACGATAAATTAAACCAATACACAGATCAATTTAAAAATATTCTTATTACATATTCTTGTTATACTTTTATTAGTTTCATGAATAAATTATTTTATTCAAAAAAATTGCAAAATTATAAGTCCTGGGCCCTGTTCAGGGATTATCAACCTGGTGCTGTCGGCAATGCTGAATATATATATATATATATATATATATATACATATATATATAATATTTTTGTATTGTGTTAGGCCTTACGCACAAAATAGAAAAATATAAAGGGTAAAAATACATATTATAAATTAGTAAGAGAGAAAAGAAAGTCTTTTACTTTCTTTCTTGTTTAATAATTATATTTATTTCTAATAATTTTTCTGTTGCGTTGAGCCCTATTAGTACCAGAGATATATACGAATTGATACGTGTCTGTTGATCACGTGTTCAACATGTCTAGTCATGTGTGTGCGTTTTGGCAGACAGAGAGTCTTTCTCGCATATCGCGACACGCGATTGTTTGAACCGCTCTGCGCAGCACATGTACGCGATCAGGCCTGTGCACGTTACCACATTTCCGGCAGCGAGCACGAGCAATTGTTTCAAGAAGTACTGTTGCTGTGTGATTGTAATACTGATATTCTTTCGCGCCTAAAGTTTTGTGAGCTGGTGTATCTTTTTGAAGAGATATCTCCTCTGAAGAGCTGAGAGAAAAGCTGATATCTCCTCTGAGCTGACTTCTCCATATTGCATAATTGTGTGCATAGTTTTTTCAAGTATTAGACGAAACTTTTTTAAAGTAAGTACAATCATATTAATAAAATACACATATTTATAACTTTCACTCTTTTTTATTGTGTTCAGTGTTAGTCTAACCTCTAGCTTTGACTATGGATAAGTTAAGGTTTAAAGATAAAATTAAATTTAATAGAAATCTTAAAAATAAACTAAATCGATCTTTAGAACTCATTAATAATAATTCTGTATTTTTTAATACACATATCAATAACATCACAGAAATTGTAATTGATAATAATATTGCTACTGATAGTTTAATATTGCCTACAAATTCATGCTGTAATAATAATGTAAATGTCAATATTCCATACAACAATGAGTTAGTAGATAGTTTAATATTGCCTATAAATTCATGTTGTAATAATGATATAAATGTCAATGTTCCAAATAATGAGTTATTTAATAATGATGTCGAAGAATTACCGAATAATATTGAGTGCAATAATAATGAAAATAATATATCGTTAACCTCAAAATTAGCTGTATGGGCTGTAAAAGATAATATAACAATATCGGCGTTAGGAAATTTACTTCCTATAATACGAGAAATACCGGGATGTAGCAATATTCCAAAAGATGCAAGAATAGTACTAAAAACACCTAGTAAAATAATTGTAACACCTTTAGGTTCCGGGACATATTTTTATTTTGGTATAGAAAAAACGATAAATTTATTTTGTATAAATCATAAAATCAACTTAGAACGAGATGAAGAGTTTTTATTAGCTGTCAATACTGATGGTTTACCGTTAAGCAAAAGTTCGAATAGTTCGTTTTGGCCTATTTTATGCTCAATCAAATCAATAAAAGTTCTTATAAACCACATATTTTTAGTTGCTTTATATCATGGTTCGGAAAAACCAAAATCTGCTAATAATTTTTTTAAAGATTTTGTAAATGAATGTATTCATCTAACAACTAATGGCATATTAATAAATTCTTTTTGATACAAATTCAGAATTTTAATGTTAATTTGTGATTCTCCAGCTAAATCATTTGCTTTATTTATTAAAGGTCATACAGGCCATTTTTCATGCACAAAATGTGAAGAAGAGGGTGAAATGTTTAATCATGTATTACGGAGACAGAACGTTTTTGCAAAAGAACTGATCATACATTTAGAACTACTGCTCAACCGGAACATCATATTGGCAAAAGTATACTATTAGATATACCTAACTTTAACATGATAGATAATGTACCAATAGATTACATGCATAATCTTTTATTAGGTGGTATGAAAAGGCTCCTTTGTCATAAACGGTATGACTGGATTTATGGTAAACCACCCCATAAATTACGAGCTCGCGATGTAAATAAAATTTCAGAAAATCTTCTAAAATTAAAGCAATACGTTCCTTATGAGTTTTTTTAGAAAAACACGTTCTATAATTGAGTGTAAGAGATATAAAGCCACGGAATATAGATTTTTTTTGCTCTATTCTGGTCCTATAGTTTTGAAAAAGGTTTTATCATCTAAAATTTATAATAATTTCATAACATTAAGTCTTGCTAGTTCTATAATGATATGTCAATGTTATTCGAGAAATGAAGATTATGTAATATATGCTCACAGTTTGATGAAACACTTTGTCTGTCAGTCTATTCAAATTTACGGTCCGGATTTTGTATCACACAACATACATAACTTTTTGCATTTAAGCGACTGTGTAAAATTATATGGTTCACTTGACAATTTTAGCGCTTTTCCTTTTGAAAATTATATGCAACAATTAAAGAAGAAAGTTCGTAAATCAGCTCAGCCTTTACAGCAAGTTATATGTACATCGCGTGCTTGAGGAAAGTAATATTGCTCAACATAACTTTAATAATATCTAATATAATATAAGTGTTCGATATACGACCTATATGATTCACGCCGGACACCGATCGCGGTGATATCACTGTTTTCGTTCTCGTATCATCTCGGTGAAATTCGGCGTATTCCGAAAACACGGACGAGTGGGGAAATGAGCCTCGACGGTTTCCATCGATGTGTCCGTGATATACTTCTGTTACAATAGTCGCGCGAATAACAAGTAAGACCTTCACAACAACCGGCGAGCGAACGAACGAACATTGTACATCGATCTACTCGGCACCGCAACAATAAATCTCGATCTTGAGAATTAAATTTGATTGCATATGTTACGTGGATTTCCCCGTCACATCACAGTTTGGCGAGACAATACAATTAAGAGAATTACGGACATCAAAATACTCGCATCACGCATACGAGATCACATTTTCTCGTACAATAAGCGATTAATAATATAAGCGAGTAGTTTGGGCACTTATGGTAAAGTATATATAAATTGTCAGACACAGACACACACACACACACACACACACACACACACACACTATATTGTGTATTTGTGTAACAAATATATATTTTATAAATCTTTTGTATATATTTATATATGTATAGCAATTATATTACATAAGTAATAGTCATATATATATTATTTATTAAGATAATTTACTTTTTAATTAAAAATACAACTACGTATTTATTTTTCATTTTTTTAATCAAATTTTAATCGACTTATATATTTATATACTTAGTTGTTACTTTAATTTTAATTAATACTAATTTAAATAATTATTATTTTGCAGACACTTATAAAAAGCGCATCAAAAGGCAAACAAAACCAAAAGTACAAACATTCTTACTTCTAATAATGAAGAGTTGAAAGAGAAAAGAAAACGTAATACAAAAACTAAAAAACGCAATAACAAATCTGAAAGTGAATCGTCCTTCTCTGAAATAGATAGATCATCATCAGATGATGATGCACTATATCCTGACGTTCCAAATTTTAACGAACAAATTGACTCAAACAATAGTAAGTAAAAAATATGATGTTGGTATAAGATATTATAATTATGTAATAAAAAATTCATTAAGATTATATTTTGTAAAAAATATTTATAATAAAAATAATTAATATTAAAAAATACAGAAATATAAGAAAACATATAAAAACAAATAAGAAAAATTTAAGATTTTAATTGCACTTTTTCTTGATATAGCTTTAAACCAGTACTTACTTAAAATTTGTAACAGCTATTAATGTAGAAAAGAGAATATAATTATATGTAAAAAGATATATATTTAATTTATATTTTTTCTAGGAAAGAAAAATCAAATAGAAAATAACACTCATAAGTTCAAAGTTACTGTTGATACTATTTCTAATTCTGGTACTAGTACTTCTATTTCTAATATTGTTGAGTCATATCATAAAAACCCGGCTTTGGAATTAAATTCTGGTAAGAAAGATAGTTCGTATAATATATTATAATTTATTACATAAGATATACGTATATATTGTAATAAAATAAATACAATTTAAAAATTTAAAAAAATGGTATATATATGTAAATAAAATATTAAAAAAAAATATTACTAAACAATAATTTATAATTAATTATTTACATTTTAGAATTTGGAAAACGGATTTGTAGAGAATTACACATTCTCAGTTTGAAAATGGATGATATTTTCGAAGGTATTAATGTTCTACTAAAAAATAAAGCAGATCTAATACAAAATGTTGTATGTAATGAAATTCCCGAAATTATGCAATCATTTCCTGTAAATGATAATTCTTTGGCTGAATTGGAGAACTGGTTAATGACATCTGAAAATAATAAAACAATTTTGGTAAGAGAAATTAAAATATTCTTTCTACTATTGTAAATAAAGTATAAATAGTATGACAAATTATATGTATATATATATTTTAATAAGATAATTTATACTCAATTTAGTAAAAAGAATATTTTAACTTGATTATATGTGTGTATAATTGTATCTTATATTATTATATTTGTAACGGGGCTCCTTTCCCGACGCCACGGATCGGCTCGTCGGTGCCAGGATTCGGGAAGAGGGGGGGGGGAGACTCAGGTTCGCAATAACCACGCCAATCGTTCTGGTAAAAACAGAGTTTATTGAAGCCGCCCTGCAAGAGTGGGCTTATTATCTAGTCTACGCGTACAGAGGAGAATCGCAGGAAGTGCGGACCGCGACCAACTTATACGGACGCGGACACGATTTATAACTAAGGAATACAAGTAATGCAACGGACGAAACGCGACCAAATCATACGGACGCGGGCACGACTTATAACTAAGGTTTACAAATAATAACGCGACGGACGAAACGCGACCAAATCATACGGACGCGGACACGACTTATAACTAGGGTTTACAAATGATAACGCGACGGACGAAACGCGACCAAATCATACGGACGCGGGCACGACTTATAACTAAAGGTTTACAAATAATAACGCGACGCGACCAAATCATACGGACGCGGACACGACTTATAACTAAGGTTTACAAATGATAACGCGGCGGACGAAATTTACCCAACGCGGCGTGGATACGAGCGCCCTGAAAAGGGCGAGCTCCGTAAACCGCCTTGGATTCGGGCGCCCTGAGAAGGGCGAGCTCCGCAAGATGTCGGTGGCTCTCGGAGGATCCGGCGACCGAGGAAACTCGGCCTTCCCGACGAGAACGCTCGTCGGCCGGGGTGATGTTCGGAGAGGATCCGGTGACCGAGGACGCTCGGCCTGCCCGACGAGAACGCTCGTCGACCGGGGTGATGTTCGGAGAGGATCCGGAGACCGAGAATGCTCGGCCTGCCCGACGAGAACGCTCGTCGACCGGGGTGCTGTTCGGAGAGGATCCGGTGACCGAGGACGCTCGGCCTACCCGACGAGAACGCTCGTCGGCCGGGGTGATGTTCGGAGAGGATCCGGTGACCGAGGACGCTCGGCCTGCCCGACGAGAACGCTCGTCGGCCGGGGTGATGTTCGGCGAGGATCCGGAGACCGAGAATGCTCGGCCTGCCCGACGAGAACGCTCGTCGACCGTGGTGCTGTTCGGAGAGGATCCGGTGACCGAGGACGCTCGGCTTACGCGACGAGAACGCTCGTCGCCCGGGATGGTTAGGAGGTGAGGAGTGGTCCTTGAGTACGCTCAAGAGACCAGGACGGGACTGGTCTCGAAGTCTCGGCTGCGCCGCTTTATATACCCGTCGGTCAGCCCCCTCCAACTAGCTTGGGGTGGGGCGGTCCGGTCGGGTGGGGCGAAAAGGCAAATTCCCACGTGTTCGATGTGTGGTGGCCCCGACAGGGGCCGTTTATATGAGCGCGGGCGGACGGTCGGCCTCGTGCTTGCGCGGCTTCTAGTGACGACAAAACGGGTCGTCACATATTTAAATATTTTATAAAGACTACATATATATTTACATATATATATATATATATATTTTATATATATAATTTCAAGATTTATAAAAAGATCGGTAAAAATTATATTATATTTAATATTTAATATTTGTATTTTATATTTTTCTATTATATTATATATTTAAAATATAAATAAATATAATGATCTTATTGTTTTAGTCTCAAAATTTAAGTCGCATTGAAGGATGTACCGTTCTTGAAATCGTTCAAAGAATTATGTATCGCATTTTCACCTACAAAGTCGGTATGTCTTACTCATGGAAAGGGGCAAAGAAAAAGAAAGTTTTCAAAAATTTAGCTGTAACGTCTGTAATTCTCTGTAAGTTGATTTTATAATTTTTATTTATTAAATTATGTTTTAAAGTTTTTGTTTTTTCCAATTTTTTAACAAAAATAAATATTAAAGTGCTTTTTAAATAAAAATATATTAAATAATATTGCTTAATATTTTAAAAACAAGAAAACAAAAATATTTAAACCCATGTAGAATTTTACTACAAAAGTAATAATATAAAAAAAATTGTGCCAAGTGAAAGTAGAAACTTGTACCAGTGGAAAATTAAAATTGCAATATATATTAATATCATACAAATTTATTGAAATTTTGACCTAACTGGCCAATACAATTCAATTAGAAACACTACGTTTCGACCCTTAGGTACGGGTCCTTTTCAAGTGTAACTGCACAATAAAAATATACAATGATTAAGATATGAAACAATAATTTACAAAATTGTTAACAAAGAAATTTAAAATAATATAAAAAAAATGTAATGTACCTTTCAAGATGTTGATTCGACAGCAGTAAAATTACTAATGTTAAACCGGAGACAAATAAATCAATTTAAGTCAAACGTTAAAAACAATAATATCAAAGTTTGACAATACAACGAAATAAATAAATAAATAAATAGACAATCATATACTGTTGATTAACTTATCATAAATCGGATTTAGATTTTCTGTGTCCTTTTGCAAATTAATGTTATTCTTATATTATTTAATAAAAAACATCTCCGCTAATTCTCTCTTCTTTCTATGTTTTTCGCAATGCAAAATCCTAGGTTCCATCCACTTAAAATCATGGTCATATTTTTTTCGATGTTTGCTAATTACGTTAAAATTGCTACGATGTTGTTTAATATTTCTACAATGTTCGTTTACGCGTGTAGCTAATTGTCTTTTTGTTTGCCCTGTATATGTTACATTGCAATCGTTACATTTTATCAGATACACGTCAGTTCTTTTCATATGATTGATCTTATCTTTACCTCTCTTGATTAATCTATTTAATTTTTTCGGGATAGTATAAACAATGTCGAGGCCACATTTTTTTAACGTAATACTCAGATTTTCGCTCAAGTTTTTTATATAAGGTATCGGTAACAATGATGTATTAAACTTTTTACATCTATATTGTCATTAACCATCAAATATTCTCTACGGTGTTTTAGTTTTCATTCTCTTCTCAATATGTAGTTCAATGAAAGGTTTCGGGAAGCAATTGTTGACCAAAATATCCGTAATAATTCTGATGTTATTAGTGTGAAAGCATTCATTTGAGAGTAATAAAGAGTAGTTATACTAGGGGGTTCTAACCCGTGGGCAATGAGGGGGGGTGAGGGGCGGGGGGAATCGGGGGCGAGGGGGGTGACGTCACGCGGGGGAGGGGGTCTTATCAGTAGATAAGCTTATCTTTGTTTATAAACATATCAGATAACCTGATAAGGGGATCATGTTACCTGATATATTTATAAACAAGATAAGATAAGGGGATCATGTTACTTGATATGTTCATAAACAAGATAAGATAAGATAAGCGGCGTCTTTGAGCGGTATCAAAGTTTTCATAAATTTTCTCCGAAGATAAGATAAGCTAAGTTTTCGAATCCAAGATAAGCGGCGTCTTTGTAAGGTATCAAAGATAAGCGGCGTCTTTGTAAGGTATCAAAGATAAGCTTGAGCGGTATCAAAATTTTCATAAATTTTCTCCGAAGATAAGATAAAAATTCTGCGAATGGCTGCCGCAAAATCCAAATCCAAGCTTGGATCCCGAGCACCGACAATCAAGGGGGTTGCGTTTCTTCATCTAAATTTGATAAGATAAAAATTCTGCGAATGGCTGCCGCCGTTTTTTAGAATCCAAGCTTGGATCGAGCGCCGACAATCGGATATCTAAGTTTGATAAGATAATTCTGCGAATTACTAAGAACAAAAGGTTTGCCGACAATCAAGCGGGTTGATCCGTACAGGTTGCGACATGTTAATCCGATCCGGCGTGTCGATCCGACGGGGTGAAATTTATCTATGTATTTCTAAGAATTATCAGCGATATCTAAATTTTCTCCGAAGATATCACACAAAT